TATATATATATATATATATATATATATACACACACACATAAATCCATGTATGCAATTTTATAACCATGTCTAACTCTAAATTTAATAATATCTAAAGCATTTCTTTTTGTCATATTTCAGGTCAGGATTGTTAGTTATAATTATGGATCAGGATGACATAAGGGATCGCAGAGATGACAGTAGTGTAAAATTTTCGAGAGGAAGAAATAGAATAGATGAAACTGAAGAAGTTAGTGATGAAAATAGTAGTTCTGAGTCTGGAGAAGGAGAAACTTCATCAAATGATAGTGATGTTGAAAACAAATCAAAAAGTGAAGACAGTCAGAACACTCATAGTTCTGACTATTGTCAAGAAAGAAAACCAAAGGATAATCTAGAAGAAAATTCTCAAAAAAATTCAAAAGCTAGATGTGAATGGAAAAGAGATTACAAAAGCAGTTCTGTTGAAGAGCAGGATAAATGTATTAGAAATAAAGCCCTTGAAAATAATAAACAGTGTGAAGAGTTGTTTTCAGGTAGTTACTCTTGGAATGAAAAGGACTTGTGTGTGTCAGATGATGCAACTGAAACTAAAAACTTAGATCATGGTACTCTGATCCATAAATCAAGAAAGAAAAAAGATGAAAACCTCAAAGCAAAAATAATAGAAATAAATACCCCAGAAGGAGAATTGGACTTTGAGGAGGAAATTCATGAAGAAGAAGAAGATGGTGAGACAGATAATGAAGCTTCCAAAGAAGTAATTGATGTTGAAACTAAAAATAATGTAAGTGTAAAATGTAAAAAAAAAACAATTAGGTGATCACATTTTATAAACAATGATGAGGAGTTATTTTCCAAGATGATAACTCACCACCGCACATAGGTTAGCTATCTTCCTCGTGTGTGCGTAAGAGATTTGCATGCCACTAGCTAATTTCCCACCTAATTCCACATGTTTTAATATGAACTGGACTGGTGAAGTAAATCCTCTATGCACTTGCACTTCTGGTAACTTCATTCTTCTCCTTGACATTGTATTGAATAAACATGTTTAAATTTCTCGTCCAAGTTCAGTTTGTTGAAATTTGTATTGTTAACCCTCTCCAAACAGGTCAAAGGCCGTGTCATTGTGTTTGTTGACTTGCATTCAAAATTTTATTGAACTGTTATTTATGTCAGTAAATTTGGTATCAAACTGTACATTATAATTTAAATTTTAGTATTATACATTATTTAATTTCTTAATTTAAAAGTATATATTAAAAAACACACCTAAGCATTGCTTTTTGTGTGTCACATGGTATGTTGAATGCAGCACTGGTTCAAATTACATGTTTGTGATGTCAAAATACGAAGTCTATAGTTTTGTATGAATTAGGAAATGAAATTGACAAGCTAGAATATAAAATATGAACCTCCTCTCTTTTCTGTTTGCTGAGATATTGCCCATGTACTGAATCAAACACAGTGGCCCCACTCACTTCTTTCCATTTTTGGAAATGCTCCCTCATATACACTTACTTCTGTCTATGACATGTGAATAACCAATCAAAATCTCAGAATGTCCCCCTTGTGGCTTTCACAGCCATTTTCAAGTATTTCGACATCATCTTGTTCTTTTGATACAAAACTTCAAGCTGGTAAGTTGAATCTACAGTCTGCTCAAAATTTCATATTTCTTTAGACCCAAACACAGCTTAGTTGCGAGATCTAGGACAAGATCTTTCAGGTGGGAATGTGAACAACTTTTCATACATTTGTCTTTCTTTATCTACATCATTTGGCTGTTTCATCTTCTGCTGGATCTTGGCTTCCATCTGTCACCATTCTTCAATCACCTCACCTTATTTAAGAAGAATACATAATTTTTTTTTCACAACTTCTTTTGAATTTCACAGGATCTTTTCAGGTGGCTGATGCTACCTCTCAGGGTATACTTACCCAAAACCTGCATTGAGCTAGGATAATGGAAAGTGCTCACACTATCCACCCTGGCTCTACCAGTGCCCACTGCAAGATAGGATGTTCTGCAAAACTGCCTGGTGTATCCTCATGAGACACATATTTACTCAGTTGTCCAATTCAAACCATACCTATTCCCTATATATATTGGAAAGAGCCAGCACCGTGGAAGTGTTCTGCTCACTTCTTTGGCTTGCACTTGCTAGTTTTTTTAAAATAGGATTTCATAGTTACCCATTGCACTGTCTCCAGTAAAAGACCTTTCCAGCTGGAGGGGGATCTAGACATTGCTCCGGATTTCCCCCATTCATAAGGTGGACCACGGGATACCTTTGTCACTTACCAGCCCCTAGCTGGTTAATCATGGAAAATCCTTACTGGTTGGATGTAGCACGATACAGTGAGAAGTGGAATTGTAGTGACATTGTCAGTGTAGTATGGATCACTCCTTTAATCAATAACTTGTATCACTTTTACCCTCCTCCTGCAGCCAGAGAGTTGTTCTGTAGAGTTGAGGTGAGCACACACTATACAAAACAGAGCTACGTAACTAAAGTGCCCTACTCTTGCAGATAGGGTCTGTTCTGTACACTTGAGGTGAGCACACACTATACAAAACCATACTGCATTCTAAAGTGCTCTCCTCCTGCAGCTGGAGTTTGTCCTGTAGAGTCGAGGTGAGCACACAAGGTACAGTCTGAATATGCCCCAACCACACTACACAAAGTTGCTCGCTGATCGCTTGTGTGAAAGTGCTTGGATTTATATGTTCTTATTCCACTGGATCCTATGACACATGGGGCTCATTTGCCTCTTCCCTCTTACATTCTGGACAAAGAATGTACCCAAGTCAAAATAAGATTTAGTCTACTACAGGTGTGTTTCTATGGAGCCCCACATGGGTGTCATACTCTTTGAGCACTTTCTAAAAGGAGCCCATCTATGTAAAATTTTGTACTGTCCCCTCCACCAATTGATCATAGGATTCTAGATAATCTGTTTGAGAAGGTGAGTTATTGTCTTGGAACTTAACAATTTCCTAATCTGTAAATGTATTTCCGATATATACTCGCCTCCATACATGTTCCCGCCTGTCCTCCTCACTGGTGCCCATTTTTGTCTTGCCTCATCAAAAAATGAAACTACCATGAGTGTAAGTGCATAGGGGCAGTTACTGCGAATGATGGTTGTGTCACCCTCCTATTGGTCATCATGCACCAGCACAGTTCACTTTCAAATTTGAAATTATATGGGGATTACCTCAAATCTTTTAGGCAGATGCACAATTAAGATAGCTAATCTGTGTAAGGGGGTGAGTATATTTATCAGAAAGATATTTTCAGATTGGAAAATGTTAACTTTCAGTACATATTGTGTATTTTTTTCTCTTGCAGACTTGAAGTGACAAATTATTCAAAATCTGAGGTAAATTGTTCATTTTTCTTCAAAAATGGAAGGTTAAGTATTTGAATTATTTTATTAAAGGAAAAGTAACTTAAATTCAAAAGTTCTGCCTTTTGATTAAAATTACCCTTAAAAATGTGATAACTAACAAAGATTAATTAATATTTTTTACAAATTCTTTAAGGGAGAAAAAAGTGAAAAAGTTGAAGCAGAAGATGATGGAGAAGTTTCAGATGTGAGTATGATCACATGAAATTTTAATTTGGAATACAATTTTCAAACAGTGATATAACTAGATAGAAGTAAATTATTCAGTATAATATATTTATGTCAGAAATGTTGCAAGTTCACAATCTAGCTGTATACTTACAATAGACCACAAGTTTTTTCTGTCTCTACTTACCCAGAGTCGCAATACTCGTGGGTCTTGTGCACAAAAACAAATTACTGTTAAAACACATTGAAAAATGGTAGAGAAATCAGTTAAACTATTTTAATTTTATATTACTGCTTGGTAACTTTCTTTTTACATACCATAAATTAATATTTTTCATGTTGGTCTATTAGAACAAGTTTTCCAACTCTTAAAAAAAAGTCAAATAATATCCATATTATGATTCTTGGTGTTTATGTAAATCAAATACAAATGCTAGTTAGATTTAAAATGAATAGTTGAGTAAAAGATGATTAGCCAGTTGAGCTACATAATTCCAATTCCTCCTTTGGGTGATTTAGAATATTTGTTCCTACAAGGTCATGGAACATCCCATTTCCTAGGCTGAGGCAGAGAAGGTACCATGTTATTATTGTGTAAAAGGAATAAAAAGTAGGGAACTAATGTCTAATGTTTCACTTCAAGGATGTTGAATACTAATATTTGTTACACAGATTCCAGTCTAAAAGAACTTAATGTCACCGAAGAAGTTAAAATGCAAAGAAAACAATGATTGCAATTAACAAATTATCAGTACTTTATAAGGTTAGATAAGTTGATGTTTTTTATTATTACAGAAATACTACTCAAAGCATTGAACTACTAAACCACACTCATTTTGTACCTAAACAAAATTATAGTGCTGTAAATACAGCTGGGTATTTAGTTGTTTATCCATGAGCGTTTATTACATTGATTAGATTCACTTAAAATAATTAATTAATATCGTGATAATAATCAACAATCAAAATTAGTGTTACTGGTTATTACAATTTTTGATGATTCCAACTATCCAAGTACTTGAAATATTGCCATAATGATTTCTCATTATTATTTTCAATTACTTCAAGGTTATTGAGCTTAATTCAGTTAGTGTTTGCAATTATTACTGTTTTAAATTATTCCAACTATCCAAGTATAAAACATGTTAGCTCTCATTTTGTGAAACCGTGCATCATGTGATGTGTACATTCTACTTGTACAAGACTCATGAATATGAGGATGTGGTCCAGTTGTTATTGGTTACATAACTAGCACAGTGGTGCCTGTTGATTGTGGTTACCTTGTATGTCTAAATAATAGTGCATCTAACTTAATAAAAGCTACAAAAGTTTTTGTTAAGGAAAATTGCTTTAATACAAATTATGGTAAGTTAATATTCATTATCCTTTATTTGCTCAAAAAAATGTTGACAGCTGAATAATTTGCACATTTAACTGTTAGTCAGAAATTACTAGACATGGAGTAATAAAAGTAACAGTATGTAATATCATTAAGTCAACCTATTTACATGAACAGGACCTTTGTTTATTTACAACTAGCTCTGCACTGAAAATGGAGATCAGTAGTTAAAATGTTGTCACACGCTGCATTAAATTAACACTGGCTAGCACAATAAGCATTAGGTTGTTTGATTTCTCATCATGCTTGTTACTTTCTACAGTTTCTTGCAGCCTGTACTGTAAATTGCAAACACATTAATAATTTTAATGTGTTTTTTCTAAACTTCCATCCATATCAACAACTTCTAGCTTAAAATCGCATGATGTTTTTTTTTATATTTATGAAAGTTGTAAATAAATTTTAAGGTTATTAACACTGATGATGGAATTAGGAAAAACTATTAACATCTGTAATTAACATAAGTTATGTATGGATAGTTCTGGGAATAAGATCAAGTTTACAATTGTATATAAACACAATTAAATGAAAGTGATCAAACATGTGGATACTTTAGGTACATCCTCACTGTATAAAGGGACACTTATCTAAACTTAATAGCATGTGTCCCTTCAGAAGTAGAGAAAAATCAGATTATCAGGGTAATAAAGTAAGTCATTATTTTTTACACAACAGTATTCCAGTGTAAAATGAGCCAAAAATTTATTATTTTTAAATCGGCAAAATGCCAATTGGACACTCATTTTCTTGAGCCATGACACTAATCAATTAAATTTAACAAACCTGAATTGATAGAAAATAATAATGAGAAAACTTAATGGTAGTATTTTGATTACTTAGATATTCGAAACATTTGGAAAACGTTTTTGGATTAGTTGATTATTTTGTATGAAATCAGTTTATTTGTAATTTCAGTTAATTAATGTTTTATATTACACTACTCCGTGTAAACGATGCTCATATATTATTAGTTAATTGCCCTGCTCTATTGAAAATAGGAAGATTAGTCTCATGTAATCAGTTATGAACCTGATGATTACTTGCTTAGCAAATTTGACAAATTGTTGAGACCTAGTTGTGATGTTGGCTGGTTTAAGATGAGGCTCATATTTATTTTTCTCCTCATAAGTAAAATCTTCTTTGATGCCTTATCAAATATTTTTTTTTTATTTCTTTAGGATGATGACTTGGAAGAGGGTGAGGTGAAAGAAAGCTGTAATAGAAAAGCACAGCCTCGTCCTATATGTAGGTTCTTTAATAAAGGCCAGTGCACTTGGGGAACCTCATGTAGATTTGTTCACCCAGGAATTAATGATAAGGGAAATTACAATATGTTTGATCCTCCTAGACCTGTTCCTTTGGGCCCTGGAAATATCATGCTTGGGAGTGGACCACCCCCTCCAATGATGGGACCTGGTCTTGGCCCTGGACATTTAGGACCACCACCACCTATGGGGATGATGCCAGTTGTAAGTTTTAGATACATTTGTTATTTTGGTATTAAGTTGTTTTTGTATGTGTTCTGTGTGTAACTAAAGATATCTATCTATCTATTATATATGTGTGTGGGTGTATTATTCAATTTAGAGTAAAGAACAAACTTTACAAATAATAATATTAATGTAATAGAATATACATAATTTATTATGCTGTATTAAAATGTTTTTTGAGTAAAGGAAACACCTCTGAAATTAATTAAATGCAAAATATACAAGATTGGTTACATCTTGTCCATCCTTCAACTGCAACTACTTTCAAGTCTTTGTATCTGTGTGTGTGTTGTAGACACCACAAAATCTTTCTCATGCTTTAATCAGGGTTTGTATGTTTTTTGGAAAATGTGGAAAGTTCTGGAATCTTGTAAGTTCAATTTCTAGGCCTGAAAAGTTGTTGGAAAATACGATGTAGTCAATTTTATAAAAAAAATTAAATATCAGCGAAAAGAATATTCCTGTTTTGGTCCATTATTTTAAATCCTGTTTCTCATGATTCATCATCATCTTGGTTACTTACCAGAGGAATTAAGTTAACTTTCACAAGAAACTTGCAGCACTCCCCCAACCATGAACATATTTGTCATTTGCCAACTGAACTCGTCTGTTGCAGTAATCATTAGGAAACTAATACATCAATGACTGTGTAGTATCTGATATTGAAAAGTTTAAGTATAGAACTCATTTTGCTCACATGATGAACGTTTTACTGGAAACTTATGAATTATCTTATGTTGGGATAGATACTTTTGCCTTTTCCCTATTAACTTCATTGTTGTGCACAAAGCTGGGTGATTTCTATTACTTATGAGCTATAGTTACATTTATTAGTGTCACATAAACAGTATCATATGCTTTAACATTTGTGGGTGTAGGCATGTAGATTTTAAACTTCCACTTTAATTGTGTGATGGTGACAATGTTTATATTATCCATTTGTGGGATTTTTTAGTACAGAGTTTTTATTTTAAAGTTTCATTGCTCAGTTTTTACATAGAAGGGTTTATATGATCATTAGTTCTAGTACTCTGAATTAGAATGTTATGTAATTCTAGTTTGTTGTAACACTTTCAAATAATGTATATGAAACAAATTTAAGGGTTTGAATGAACCTCACTTTTTTTTGTACATCATGTACTAAGTAGTGTTCTTAAAAAAAAAAGTGATGGTTCAGGGTCCTAGAAAATCGATACATGTAATTCCACTCTTGAAAGTGTTTGAAAAAATCGTGGAGTTTTGTTCTTGAACAAGTGTACTAATCTAAACCATTATTTGAAAAGTATGTGTAATTGGTGAACTGCTGAACCTGTTCTCACTAAGCCTGGCATATAACCTTAGTGTCCCCCAGTGAGAGAGACACATGAGGGTAACCATTTGAATATGATCCCTATGTCTTCTTTGTGCATTGACTAGGTACATCAGTTAGCCTTGTTTAAGTGAAAAACCAAGTTTATTCATAAGCATGAACAAAGAGTCCTCATTGCAACATACATTTATAATAGTGTAAATATTAAGCATATCTGGGTATAAAACATAAAATATTATTAGTGAAATATGTTGAATCTGCTATAAAAACCTTTCAAGTATTACTTTAAGATCATTATGTATTCATTCAGAATATGTATACAAATATCATACACTGAAGTGTATATTGTTTTGGGCATTTTCTTGTTTATCTGTTGATGTGTTTTTTTTTTTGTCACTTTGCTTCTTTTCATTAAAAAAACATTTTAAACACAAAACTTAAAACAGTATAAAGTAATACCCAGCCAATAGAACATTAAAACTAGTACAAGAAGCTTCTACTATCATCAAGTTTCAGAATAAACCTATACAGCATTATTTGTATCTACATTTAAGGCTACACTTTCTTGGCAATTGAAAAATTACAATATATTCACATAAAAGCAGATAACCCCTAAATGGTTAGAATATTTAGAAAAGTGACTAAAGAAATAATCTTTTAATAACAAAAAATAGATTTCATTAAGACTTGTAATATGTTTTTCAAATATCTGATCTTAAATGTTTTTATACTGTAAGCTTTCTGCATTTAACACATCTTCTAATCATACTATTTTTGAAAACCTGATAAAACCATTCAATTGGTACAATAATATTTTAAAATAGAATGATTTTGTAATCCAGGCATAAGTTTTCAATATTCTATTGTTGTAACTTTTTGTTAGCCTGGTGGTGCAGATTTACATCCTTTTCCTCCACCTCCACCACCATTCATAGAAGAACCTCCTCCTCCTCTTGAATCAGCGTGGGAAAGAGGTTTGCGACATGCCAAAGAAGTGAGTTATGTTTTGTTTGATACTGTCATCAATAAACCATTGTATTTTACTATAATGCAAGTTCATTATTATTTGACAAAAAGAAAAAAATCCTGAATGTAGAATAATAAACTATTTTGTAATTAACTTTTAGAACTGTCTGTGAAGAACTGAAATTGTTTCAAATTATGTTATTTGATTTTTGGCCTCTGACATGGATTTTTCTGGAGACATATAAGTGTGAAGAATATGCAGAAAGAGAAAAGAAACTTTGGTCTTTGTCTCTACTGAACAATGTATTTTACATAGTTTGGCTAGAATGTGTGATGTGTGTTAACTCATACTTGTAACTAGTGTCAGCAGTTAAAAGATCTGCCAATGATTTTTATGAGCAACAAAAAAACTAATGATCTGTAAAATTTTGAGTGTCTTATGCAAATCCTATGCTTATGAATAAGCATGTTATAATTATTTTTTTTGTATTGTATATTTAAAATAGATTTAGCTTTTATTTGCTCAATAGCATAAAGGATGTAATTGTTATAAAACTAAATTTAAGTTCTGTTTATGTCTTTGTTTTTAAAGCATACTGAGCTTTGTCAAGTGTCAACTAAAAGCCTTTATGGGAGAGAATAGTTTATCAAAGGGAAAAATTATTATTTTTTGTACAAAAGAAGCACAAATCTAAACAAAGGTATATATAGTGTTCTTATTTGTCACATAAAAGCTGCATTTAAGGTTGGATATGTTTCTGTTACTTGAAAGTAAAATCAGGGTTCATTATAACTTCTTGTCAGCTGATGAAGAGAGCCAATTATAGAAAAGAACAAGAACCAGATTTTGAGGAGAAAAGATTAAATCTCTCACTTGACATTAATGACAGATTTCCAGATTATGACAAAGAAAATAATTTTTATGGTAGAAGTCCTCCAAGAAAACATGGAGATGAAGTGATGCACTATGGGTTTGTATTCTAAGTTGATATTGTTTTTTATATATTGTATCTGCTAAATATTTTTTGTTTGTTAAAAGTTTAAAAACTGTATAGACATGTGCCAGTATTAAAATTGCCCAGTTACAGATTAATTGGTTAGCAATGTACAGCTGATTAATTAGTCATTTCTTTTATCAGTGGCCTTTGAGATGACTTAAAAGTGTAACTATGGCAACCATCTCACATTTGATTTCATAATCTCTGCCCACCCCTAGGCCTAAGAGGTTGGTAAATTTACATGGAATATAGGTGTGGTAATCAATAAAGAAAACAACAAAGATAAGTGTTCAAAAGTATCATGGGAATGAATTTCCTTGAATGGAAATAATACATTTGGGGCAATTTTCTCTCCTCTCTCTTTACCTTTTACAGACCTGCAGTTACTGTCTACACTCATTTCCAGCTCTCATATATAATGTGCAGTTGCATAACTGAACTTTTAAAATTAATTACAAAATTGAGAACATATTGAGTTTCGCTGTATTTTGGTTGTTAATTGTCACATGTCTAATGCTGTATAGACAATTTAAACTTATACTTGGTAATTTTATGAATTTCTTGAGCAAGTAAACATAGAAATGTAGGAGCTTTTTTATAAATGTGTGAAATGGTTTTTACACAGTTTGTAGGAGATTGAAATATGAAACAATAACGAGAAATTAATTTATCGAAATAATTATTGTAGATTGTCAATTCTGTTCAAATTTTAAATCATGGAAGGGTTCAAAATTCATTTGTTTGTCTTCTTAGTCATCCAATTATTTAGAAATCAACTAATTTTAATTAATCACTATTATTACCAGTAATCTAATTACTATTTATTAAACTGATTAATCAGCACATAAAATTTGTACTGAAATAATGACTAAAGTTCTGTTATTTTAACTTGTGTTAACAGGCTTAAAAATGGGAAAAGTGGTTTACAATCCTTAAAAGAATTCTCTTGCTTTCATGAAAAGAGATTAAAATTGTATGAAAGATGAGATGATGCATCCTCATCTTTCAATTTATGCTTTGTTAAAATAGATAACATCAGTTTATATTCATTCTTTTTGTGCTGTTTAGGGGATATGGTAATGTGGCTGATAATTTCAAACCATTAGAAAGAGAGGCTCAGGATTTCTGGCGAGGACGTTATGAAAATTTTGAGATACATTGGTCTAGACCAGAATTTGAATATAGGGTAAACCTATGTCTATTAAAGTCATGTTTTAGCATTTCTTTTTAATTTTACATTGTGGAAAAAATATTAAAAGAGTTACCTTTGAATGTGTAGTTCCTACCTTTGAAAATTAGTATTAGTATTTTATTGCTATACATTTTTTAATTTTCTGGCCTTTTTTTAATTATAGTACATGTACATGTTATATTGCTCTGTGTAGATTGATATGCAAAATATTTTCAATTTAATCACTCAATAATGTTTGTATGTTATAATACTCTATTGTGTATTTTTTTCTTTAGGCCTTATTTTATTCTCAAGAACATAAATATATATATATATATATATA